ATTTACCATGCCCAGTGTTTCTTGTTCCTTCTCACAGGTCTAGATCTAGTATGGAAACATTTACTATGATGGTTAATCTTAATTGTTAACTTGACTGGATTGAATACATTAATAAACACCTCCCTCTGGAGGTGTCTGTGGTGTTTCCAGAGATTAGATCATGGGGGCTCTGTTGTACACTGCCTGCAGAGATCAGAAGAGGGTGTCAGATTCCCCTGGAACTGGAAACTGGTTACAGATGGTTGTTAGCCATCTTGTGGGTGCTGGGAACCCAACCTGGGTCTTCTGCAAGAGCAGCCAGTGCTCTTAATCCCTGAGCCAATTCTCAGCCCCTAAATATTTATTTGTATTATACGTATGTATCCATGTGAGTGTATTCTCCATGTGTGCAGGTTCCTTCAAAGACTAGAAGAGGGTGTCAGATCCTTTGGAGTTGGAATTTCAGGCAGTTAAGAACCAAACTCCATTCCTCTGGAAGAGCAACAAGTGTTCTTAACCTCTGAGCCATTTCTCCAGCCCCTCCCTTTTTTTTCCCTTTAATGCTAGGCAAGTACTCTACCATTAAGTTAACAACATCACACCTAGCCCATATTTAAGTTTACTGATCCTTTTTTTCTTTTTTTAAATTTAATCAATTAATTAATTAATTAATTTATTTATTTATTGGTCTTATTGAAACAGGGTCTCCCTGTAACCCCAACTGGCCTGGATGCTGGGATTAAAGGCGTGGGCCACCATGCCCAGCTGATCCCTTTATTTTTCTTTTATTTGTTTTGTTTTGAGACAGAGTCTCCCTGTAGCCCCCAACTAGCCTAGAACTTGCTGTATGGATCAAGCTGGCCTAGATCTCACAGAGATCCACCTGCGTCTCCCTCCCCAGTGCTCTGATTAAAGGGGAGTGCTACCACACCTGGTTTTAAAATATTTTTAAATGGACTGGAGAGATGGCTTGTTGGTTAAGAGTGCTCGCTGCTCTTGCAGAAGACCCGAGTTCAGTTCTCAGCACTCATGTCAGGTGGCTCACAACCACCTGTAACTCCATCTCCAGGGGATTTAGTGCCCTTTTCTGGCCTCAGTGGGCACAGCTATCTTGTGCACAGACACACAGGCATATACATAATTAAAAATAAATTTTGAGCTCACAGCAATGGTGGCAGCATGCATAAGACCCATGCAGACTCAAACCAGACAAAAAACCAGGATAGAACTGGGGAAATGGGCAGGAGGACTTAGCTGAAGGATGGTTGAGAGCTGCCGACCAGGCTCCAGTGGATGAACTCACACTGAGGGACATGTAGTCACACAAACTTGATAGACCTTGACATAGATGACAGAATGCATGAAATCCAATGGGGGGTGCAGATAAGAGGGGGGGTCTAAATATGATTAAGATATATTGTATGAAATGCACAAAAATTCAACAGATATATATTAAAAATAAATGAATAAATTCTGGTCAGGGGTAGTAGTGTATACCTTTAATCCTAGCACTCAGAAGACAGAAGCAGGCAGATCTCTGAGTTCAAGACCAGCCTGGTGTACAAAGTGAGTTCCAGGCCAGCCAGGGCTACATAATGAGACCTAGTCTTAAGAAAAAAATTTTTTTCTAAACATTTATTTATTATATGTCTGTGTACACATGCTATGGTGCACAGGTGGAGATCAGAGGACAACTTGTGGGAGTTGGTTCTCTCCTACCATATGTGTTCTAAGATCCAATTCAGGTTGTCAGACGTGGCCCGCAAGCACCTTTACCCACTGAACCATCTTGCCAGCCCCACTAATCCTTGCTTAGTGCTAAGTTCTATCTGACATTAAACCTATTTGATGAATTTTTTATTTTAGATAACTATATTTTCTAGCATATATAGTTATTTTTACAACTATATTCTCTAAAATATACAGTCCTGGAATTTCCACATTTTGTGTTTTCATTGTACTTTCTGATCACCCATTTTGTCTTTCTCTAAATTCGCTAACAGATTTATAATAGTTATCTTTATATCTGCTAATAGAACTCAGCACCTGGATTATTCCAACATCTGGGTCATCTTATTATCTTTTTAATGATCTTTATTTGATATTGTGTCTCAGTAGACGATAGACATAGAGAGTAAATAACATTCCCCTGGGAGAGCTAGGATGAGGGGCAAAGCAAGTCTTCTGGGTTAGACCATGTTTCAGTTTTAAATAGTTTCAGCTTATTTCTGGTTTCAAGTGATTAAATTGTAATTAAGTTGTAAGCTTAATTTTTCCTTCATTGGGTTTGTGTCTTAAGTACCCAAGACCAAAAAAACCTTTCTTTGCTTTTCAGCTAGCACCTAGTTCCTTAGAAACTCCACAGGGGCTTCTCTGATCTCATACATAGTTGACATGCATAGGGCTGTGCTGCAGGTGCATCTAACTGTATTTCAACTCTGCTGCATACAGCATTGATAAATTTCACAAACATAATGAGGAAAAGAAGGTAGAGATCAGTAAGCTTAAACCATGATTCCACATACATAAAGTTCAGGTAAATTTACAGTGTTAGAAATAGGAACCAGAGTTACTTGTAGGAAGGAAGGAAAGATAGTAATTAGGAAGAAGATGCTCTCTTTCTTCATTCTGATGTGTTTATTTTGTAAAAAATGCATTGATCTATATGCTTAAAATTTTCCTTTTTTATTTTTTAATTATGTGTATATGTATGTCTGACTGAAGGTAGGTTTGTTTATGTGAGTGCTGTGCTCTGGGAGACCAGAATAGGGCATTGGATTCCCTCAGGAACCCAGTGTGGGTGCTGGGAACCAAATTCAGGTTCTCTGAAAGAGCACTCTTAACCACTGAGCTATCTCTCCATTTTATGTTTAAAATTCCTACAGCTTGGGGACGGGAAGATGGCTCAGTCAGTAAAGTGCTTGCTGGGAAGCATGAGGACGTGAGCTGGGCTCACAGCACCACATTAAACAACCAAGCATGGCAATGAGCACTGATAATCCCAGTGCTAGTCAGACAAGAGATGAGCCGTGCAGCCCTGAAGCCAGTTCTGCCACTTGACTCCAGGCTTAGAGACCCTACCTCAGAAAATAAGATGGAGAGTGATTGAGGAAAACACCTCCTTTGATTTCATACATGAACATGCGCATGTATCAGCACACATGTGCACAACACACACACACATACACATACACACACGTTTCTACAAATCAAAGAGAAAAAGACAAAAGATAGTAAGACAACCCAATACAAGAGTAGGTAATAATAGGAAAAAGCAAACACCAAGAGCCGGGCATAGTGGTACACACCTTTAGTCTCAGCACTCAGGAGGCAGAGGCAGGCAGATCTCTGTGAGTTCAAGGCCAGCCTGGTTCCAGGTCAGCTGTGGCTACAGGGAGACCCTGTCTCAAAAAAGAACAAAAGAAAAAAGAAAAAGCAAACACCAAAAGAGACTGGAATGACCTGGAAGTAAACGGTATTCAACTAACAATCATGAAAACACATATTGAAACTTTACCAAGACACTATTTCACACCAATGAGCGTGGCTAGAGCCAAATGTCAAACATGACTAAATTGGTGAGCATATGAGTAAGCAGAGGTTTTTTTTGTTTTCGTTTTTCTTTTCTTTTCTTTTAAAGATAGGCTTATTAGCCCAGGATGGCCTCAATCTCAGTGTAGCTGAGGTTGGCCTTGAATTCCTAATCCTCCTGCCTCCACCTCCTAAATGCTGTGATCACGTTCATCCCAGAAAGTCTTACACACTGCTGATTTTAATGTAATTTGTGATAATTTAAAGCATAATTGATGAGGTAGTGATTTGAAGCTATGAAAATTACAGGTTTCTGCAATTTCACTATATAGAGAGGTTTTTAAAATTATAAACTCAATCCACATGTGCACAAATTTGTACATTCCAAATCAGTTTATGATAGCAAAAAATTGGAGACATGCCAGAATGTCCATCAATAGGGAAATACAGAAATACCACACAGCAGTTTACATCAGTAAATAAAGGACTGGGGATATAGGTTAGTCGCACAAAGGTGTGAGGGTAAGATCTCACAAAATCTTGTCTCCTCTGATTTATCCCCCAGTGTCCTCTGTAGGAGAGCTCAACAACATTTCCTCAGCACTATGTCTAAGTCCCTCCCCAAGTGACTGGTTTAGAGTTTTAAATAGCTTTTCTTATTTCATGTTCCTGTTTAAAAAATGATAGCTGGTGTGGTTGCATGCACCTGTTATCCTACCTATTGGAGAAGCTGAAGGAGGAGGATCAAGTGAGTCCAGGAGTTCTGAAAAGAGCATGGGTAACAAAGCAAAATTCCTCAAAAAAGCAACCAAAGATATCTGAATTGTAAATAAGCCTGGTGGGGTGGGGCAGGCTTGTAAACCCAAACTCAGGCAGCAGAAGCAGGAGAATCTTGAGTATGAGACCTTGTCTCAAGGAAAAAAATACCTTCAGCCAGGTGTGATGGCTCTTACTTGTAATACTAGCAATTTGGGAAACTGAGACAAGAGGATTGTTGTGAAATCTAGGCCAGCATGAGCTACCGATTGAGACTATGACTCAAAAAAAAGAGCCAACCAAAAAGTAGATAATATTGTTTGACACTTTAATTGGTACGGTATGAGTGGTCACAAAATATGTTTTATCCTCTAGTTTTTAAAAATTTTCATAGATGTAGCTATAAACAAGAAGTTACCCACTAATTTGTGTTACAGTAGTTTATTTATCATCTACATAATTATTGAGGGCTTTTAATTTTGGAAGCAGAAAAATGATATGAATTTAAATAGTCAAAGGCATTCTGTAGAGTGAAGTGGAAATAGTTGCATTTTATAGGTCATCCCAGGGAGAGATCAGTTTACAGAAGCGAACACATTAGCCAGCGCCTTCCCACTTGTTGAAGAGCCTGGTTGTTAAGACTGTGTGCTATGCAACAGGCTTGCTTTCTCTTCCTTTGAGAATCAGGAATTTGCTTTTTTTGTTAGTGTTTTGTTTTTTTTTTTAATTTGCAGACTAAACTTTAAGATGAGGAAAGTTGATCTCTGTTTGAGCTCTGAAGGGACTGAAGTGATTCTGGCTACATCGAATGATGAAAAACACCCCCCTGAAAATATCATCGATGGGTAAGAGTTTCTCTTCTGGCCTGTCTGTTCAAGGCTTAGTATTTAGACCAGTGAAACCCTTGAGTACTGGGATTTTGGTTTACAACAACTGGCGCTGTTAAACATTTAACAAATGTTTGGTGAGCTAAGTTACTTTATAGTATCTGCTTTTGGTGTTATTCCTGGACCTGATTCGGTTGTGGCTATTTAAGTTTTTTATCCTTTATAATTCTTGGGCTAACCTCTATATGCAAACATGTTCAATTTTTTTTTCTTTTTCTTTTTTTAGTATTAGAGATTGAACCCAGGGACCTTGTATATGGTAGGCAAATACTAACATATATATATATATTTCTATTTATTCCTTTTTTGTGGTTTGAGTTTTCTAAAGCAGGGTCTCACCATGTAACCCCAGACTTGTCTTAAACTCAAAATCGTCATGTCTCAGCTTCCAGAGTCTCAGGATTATAGCTGTGTCCTACCACACCTAGCATGCCCATAGTTTTTGTTTGTTTTGTTTGATTTGTTTTATGTGTATGAGTGTATTTATTGCCTGCATGTGTGTAAGTGCACCCATGTTGTGCAGTGTCCTCAAAGGTCTCAGATCCCCTGGAACTAGAGTTACAGACTATTGTTAGCCACTGGGTAGTGGGTGCTGGGTATTGAATCTGGATCCTCTGCAAGAATAGCCAGTGCTCTTAACCACTGAGTTATTTTTCCAGACGCTATTTGTTTTGTTTTTGAGACAGGGTCTCCCTGTAGCTCCAGCTCCCCTAGAACTAACCATGTACACCGGGATGGCCTCAGAGATCAGCCTGCCTCTTCCTCCCAAGTGCTGGGATCAAAAGTGTGTACCACCACAACAGGCACCAATGGGTTTTTTTTTATTTGTTTGTTTGTTGGTATTTTTGAGACAGTCTCCTAGTAGCCCCATCTGTCCTGGAACTAACTATGTAGACCAGGATAGCCTCAAACAGAGAGATCTGCCTGCCTTTGCCTCCCGAGTGCTGGGACTAAAGGCATGCACTACCATACCCAGCTTACCAATAGGTTTTTTAAAGTGGTTTACCAAGGCAAAAACTCAAGACTTTGTTTTAGAGAAGCATAACTTTAATGTCTGGCTTTGGTTTTATTCCAGATTTTTCTTGGACACTGAAGTATATAAACATTGTTACTTCCTATCTGCCTGTTTCCTTACTGCCCTGAGCAAGGTCTTTGCTGAGCTGAATGCCTCACTTCCTGCCCTCCTCCTGCACTGCACTGATGCTTCATGCCAGTTTCCACTCGTTCCAGGGCTGGAGCTTATTCTAGGTAGAGATAAGTAATATGCTCAGATTTTTAATTCCAGGAAAAAGTAGCTAACAGAGAACTCCTCTTTTAAATACTTTGGCTCATTTTCCTACTCTCTTGTCTTCTCCCTGTATACATATATGGTACCCACAGACTGACTGGTGGAATCATATCATTTTAGAGCTGAGAGGGTTTATTAGATTGCTTTAGACTTATGGGAAGAGAGCTGTATACATTAAAGCTAGTTTTTAGTACTGAGGCAGAGCCAGTTGTAAGATGGAAATTCTGAGTCTCAGTGTTCATCATGCTGCAACAAATCCCAACAACCACACAACTTTGCCTTCAAGGTTACTTGCTGACTCCTGTCTCATGTCTGCCCCTTGCCCTCAGGTGGGATTACTTTATCTCTTTGCTAGGTTCCAATAGCTTTTGGTTTTAAACCCTATCATGAAATTGTGTGGTTTGTTTTTTTCTCTTTCTTTTTTTGTAATTGTTTATTTTTAATATTAGTGTCCTCTTCCAGTTGTGAATTCTTGGAAATCAATCTGTTTTATTTATCTTTGACTCTACAGAGTTTTGAAATGTTTGTTGACTAGTTTGTTGATTTGTTGGTAAAAGTTGGCTAATTTTGGAAAGTATCAGAATGTATTTATATATATAAACATATGTATGCATATGTTTATATAGAATTTTACAGTTGCATATGTACTGTGTCATTTGTGAAGTGGTAAGGCACACATACAAAAGTATCCTCAACTGGGCATGGTGGCTCATTCGTACAATCCTAACAGGGAGACTGAGGCTGGAGGAGGACTGCCTTGAGTTCAAGGCTAGCCTGGGTTACAAAATAAGACCCTGTCTCAAAAAATCCAGGAAAAACAAGTATTTTAAATCGCATTGCAAAGATCAACAAAAGAATTACTGAGGTAAAGTGATTTGCTTGCAATCACATAGATAAACAGATAACAGAATCAGCTCACGCTCATGCCTTCTAGCCCCTAGCTCAGGGGTCTTTGCCTTATATTATTATGATGACTCAAGCTTGAGGATCAAAGCCTTAGTGTCTGCCTTTGCCTTTGTCTCATGGTTACTCTGTCTTGTATTTCCTGAAAGTCAAGTGATAGCTATTTATTCCACTCTGATTTGGCATAGAAAAACAAGTATACATATATTCAGAACTACAGAGATTAAAGGGTTCATTTAGAATAAAGATCTTTCCAGAAACACACCTCACTTTGATTGGAGTTAGACCATTTTTCTAAGGCAAGATCAATTTACCTTGTACCCTGTATTTTCTCAAAGGAATATGTTTATAGATCATTAGGGTTCATTGTCATATGTAGTAGATGATTTTTTTAGGCTTTGATTAGTCCCTGTAAGGAATGACTAAGGACATAATATTTTTTAGATTGGACAAAAATTCTAAATTCCATATAGAAAACTATATGGAATAAGGATAATTACTATCCTGATAACTGAACAGAGTATATCAGAGACTTTTAACCCATGTAGTTCTAGCCTGTAGTAGATACTGAAAATTATTTTCTGTTCTCAAATTTGTTCATCTAAATGGAAATAACCACAGTTATTTGGAGAAAATAGCACTATTCATTTATCCCTATTGAACACTGAAGATTATTTTGAATTTTTATTTATTATTTTTATTTTATGTGTATGAGTATTTTGTCTACATGTATGCAAGTGCACCCATGTGGCCAGGAGAGGGTGTCAGATCCCCTGGAACTGGAGTTATAGACAGGTGTTAGCCTCCACGTGGGTGCTGGGAACCAAACCCAGGTCCTCTGCAAGAGCAGCCAGTGCTCTCAACCACTGAGCCATCTCTCCATGATGAACCACAGAATGCATAGTATAAGGAAAGAATCTGTTCCCCAAAAGTTGTCCTCTACCTCCATTTACAGGCTGCAGTATGCAATAATACACCACACACACACATATAAATAAAAAGGGGCAGGGAGTGAGGTGTGGTGGTGCACACCTTTAATCCCATCACTTGAGGGTCAGAGGCAGGCAGATCTCTGTGAGATTGAGGCCAGCCTGGTCTGCATAGTAAATCCAGGCCAGGTAGGACTATAGGGAGACTCTATATATAAAATTTGAAAACCCACTAGTTTCAAAAATCATTTCACAGTAAAAACTGAAAAAGAAAGATAAAGGAAAAAAAATTTAAGCAAGAGGAGGAAAAATATTCATTGTCCACCAAGGAAGAGCAGTGCTAAGTACAGTATCTTACAGATGCTGACGAGATGCAAACAGAAACAACTGCCATCCCAGAGTTCTGTGTCTAGCTAAAACATACTTCAGAAGTACAAAGATAATTATTCCTCACAAGAAAATCTACGTCACAGAAAATGCTGAAGTTCTGCAGTTTGGAGGCAGGAATACCAGATGAGAACTCAAACTACAGAACAATGAAATATACTAGAAACAGTAAAGATTTTAAAGATGTGGGTAACTGTAAATGATTTCTTCTGGTTTTTCTTTTTTTTTTTTTGTCTCTCTTTAGCCCCAGCCTGTCCTGGGTCTCACAGAGATCTACCATCCTCTGTCTCCTGAGTGCTGGGATTAAATGTGTGTAAAAAAAAACCCACTTTAAAAAAAAAAAAAAGAAAAGAGAAAGTAGATCCTTAACCCTATTATATTTTCTTGCACTTTCTTTGGGTTTAATTTACTCCTCTTTTTCTAGGCTCCTAAGTTGAAATTTATTTATTTATTTATTTATTTTACTTTTGGGCTGTTTGGTTTTTGATACTTGAAACTTTTGACTTGAAACTTCATATTTACTCCTTTCAGCATTGTTCATACACTATGGATTAGCTACTATCATAGTTATTAGGGACACAAAGATAAGTAAAAGAAAGTGTCGGGATTTATAGAGCTCAGTATCATACTGGGGCCATAAAAGCACAGGAGATAAGAGTTCAGAGTAGGAGTGGATGCAGTGAGGCAAGTGTAAAGCAGAGAGGAAGTGATTCTCTTCTGCTGGGATGGAGAAAGGACCATAAACTTTTGCAAGGGGAAGAAGGGCTTCAGGTCAGGAGAACCTCATTAAGTTACATATAGAAGCATGAGTCTGCACAGTGTGTCTGAGAGTTGTAAATGGCCCACTGTGACCACAGTGATGGGGGTGATGGAGTGATGGGAGGCAGTATACTTTAATGATGAAGCCAGATTGTATAGTCCTAAATGCCACACTAAGGAGTTTGGGTTTACAGTTAATAAGGGGACTGCTAAAGGCTTTTAGACAGGAGTGACATCAGTTCTGTTTCAGCATCTTATAAGAAAATGTCTGTTAGTAGTAAAAAAAAATACATTAAAGTTGAGAGGCAGAGTTCGAGGCAGAATTAATAGAAATTGCAAAATAAAAATTAGAATGATATAATTAAACTTTTGTATTTGACTGTTCATTTTTCTTTTTCTTTAAAATTAATATTAGGAATTCAGAAACATTTTGGACCACCACGGGAATGTTTCCTCAGGAGTTCATTATTTGTTTTCACAAACATGTAAAGATTGAAAAGCTTGTAATCCAAAGTTACTTAGGTAAGTCAATAACCCATTAATTCTTATAATCCTTTAATTTTTCCATAGGTAAAGGACACATGTAAACTTTTAGCAAGAGACTAGTTTTTCTTTACAGCATGGGATCCGGTTTTATTGCAGAAATGGGAGGGTAAGGATTATGGCTTAACTGCCTTCAGTACAATTAGCCTCTCTGAAACTGCACATTTGAAACCCTTCCAAAGCATGTCATAATTTCCATGCAATTTACTGTGTGAGAGTCTTTGGCAAAAGAAGATTTTGTTATGAATGTAAGAAGCTGGCTTGCCAGAACACTGGGTTCTATGACATCTTCATTCTAGATGCATTCATCCTGTAGGTCTCAAATTATTATTGCAAATCTGATAAGCTCAATTATTCCCATTGGATAGTTTTAATTCTTCTATTACTAGTGACATTTTCTGGGGATTTAGTAATGGAATTGCCCATTAGGACATCATTCAAGTCCTGTCTGTGATAAAGTGTATTGGACAAAATCTCACCAGTAAACAGAATACCAGATGTTCCTAATGAAGAGGCTTTAGTGATGTGTCTACTTAGAAAATTCTGGCCTGTGCTATGGGAATGAACAAGGGGTAAAGAGGCTCTCAAACTAACTATAGCAGGCAACTGTTGCTGTCCTAGGACAAGGAAAAGACATGGCATTACCTAGGGCCAATGAGAGCTGGAGCCTGCTCAAGGGTACCTGCCAGGCAGGAGCTGTAGTCATAAAAGGACAGGACGACATCACAGATGTGGTGTGAAGCAGGTGGGGAGTGGGGATAAAGTGACCCTGGTCTCTCTTCTCTGTTTTCCAGTCTCCTGGTGCCAGCCACTGGCCAGCTCCAAAGAGAAGCGAGTAGGGAAGTTAGTTCAGGAGATGTAGACCACAGGACTCAGCCCCTCTGCCACAGAACAAGACAGAGGAGGGGAAGAATGAATCTGGGGGTCAGGTGGGGACAATGGAGAGAAAACTACGCAGAAGGGAGATGACCGTGTGCTTGGTATGTCCCTATCATTAATTACGCAGGCTCCAGAGCCAGACACAGGAGTTCCAGTTCTGGCATTTGCTAGCTCTAGCTCATGGGATGCCTTGCCTAGCTTCTGTAAGTCTCATCAGAAGAGTAAGCTATTCATATCTTTTCTCCTAAGACTGAAGCCAAGAGCAAATGAGTAAATTTGCCTGAGTCAAAGCAGGTTCTCCATAAAAGAGAGACTAAGATCTCCAGTAGTGTTGTTGTGACAAGTGGATGAAGCTCTAGATGATAAATTCAGAAAAGTACTACTAGATTTGTGTTGTATAGTTATAAATGTTGGTAAGATTTCCATTATGCAATGTCGTACTTTGTCTTAGGGATTCCTGGAAAAACAGAGTAATAGCTTCCAGGGCTTGTTATTCCTGATCCCAGCACTCTGTGTAGATCCACCAGTCTATGACAGTCTTAGGCAGAAGGAGAAGAAATACAGAGACTACATAGAATTAAGTAGCTAATTAATATTTATTTATTTTATTTATTGACAATGTTAGTGAGGACCTTGAGGATTGAAAAGACCACGTCTAAAGAGCCAGTTGGTTTTGAGCAGTGGGTTGAAAAAGGTATGTACCTGTGTCACCAGTACTGTTCTGAGCATGCGGGAGTAGCTATCTGTTCTCTAACTGTGCACTACCAGCCCAGGTGCATTTTGGTAAATAAAAGGTGATTTTAATGATCCTTGTAATACAGTTAAAACCTAGGGAAAAAAAATGCATGTTTTTGTACAGTTGTCTTCACTCACTGGTTATATAACAATGTGTTATTTATTTTTCTGAATTTCAAAATCCTTATAAAAATAGACATGACGCCAGGTGTGGTGGCGCACGCCTGTAGTCCCAGCACTTGGGAGGCAGAGGCAGGCGGATCTCTGTGAGTTCAAGGCCAGCCTGGTCTACATAGTGAGTTCCAGGACAGCTGGGGCTACAGGGAGACCCTGCTTCAAAAAGACAAAAATAAAATAAACAAATTCTATTAAAAAAAAATAGACATGACACAGTTAAGGCTTTTGTGAGTAGTAGCATATGATATTAATTTCTTACCTTTCTATCCTAATTAATGATACTATTTAAATATCATCAATGACTTACTAGCCTCCATTTAAGCACAAACATAATGACTTTGTGTATCTGTCTCTTTTTCTTTTTTACCAGAATACTATGAAAATAGTAAATGAATAAAAAGAGGCATAAAACTATAAGGAGAGAAAAAAAGAAAAAAAAGAAACTAAGGCAAATATATATCATATCAGAGGGAAAGTAGTGACTTCCAGAGTTTCACAGATTAAGTTGTAACCTAAGTGCCTTCCAAGGAAAATAGCAAGAGTAAACTCATTTGTTACATGGAACCCCAGAAAGGCTTAGATTTGAAGAAACAGGTACTGTGGAAAGTATAAATGAGATATGGATGATATTGAACATCTGTATTCTGAGCAGTTGGCTTCTAGGTAGCTTTCCCCACCCAAGCAAACTAGGTCAACATTCCTTTCTCCCAAGACCTCCACTGCCACTGTCAAGAGATGGCTAAGAACAGTGAATGTTGAGGTTATGGGCTCAGGACAGCAGGCAGAGGGGAGGAAGAGAGGAACAGAGGGAGGGAGGGAAATAGTGTAGTTAGGTAGAAGTCTCGACAGTAAACAGTGGGAACTTCAGCATTCTCCCTGTGCTTTGGTGTTAATGACACCCCCTGCTGGGGGTCAGAGGACTCATCTTTGGAGAAACAGGGTGGCCCTAGAAAAAGATCTAGGTATACTGACAAAGGGTAGCCCCTTGGTCTCTGTCACAGTCAGCAATCCCAGCTCATCTACAGTTTCCCAATTATTACTCATGAGTAATAAGACAGCCAAAGGTTAGGGAACAATTGATAAAAACATCATCATCCCTTGAATGTAATCAAGCCTAATTTCCTTTTTATTTTTTTTAGTCTTTTTGAGACAGGGTCTCTCTGTAACCCCTGGAACTCGCTTTGTAGACCAGGCTGGCCTTGAACTCACAGAGATCTGCCTGCCTCTGCCTCCCGAGTGCTGAGTTTAAAGGTGTGTGCCACCATGCCCCGAAATTTCCTTTTTCCTCAAGAAAAGATTTTTTATGTGTATGAGTGTGAGTGTTCTGCTTGCATATATGTAAATGCACCATGTTTGCCTAGAATTGGAGTTAGTTCTGCTTGTGTATATGTAAGTGTACCCATGTATGCCTAGAATTGGAGTTAGTGATAAGTGTTAGCTGCCATGTGAGTGCTGGGAGCTAAATCCAGGTTGAAGAGCACTAAGTGCTGTTAACCACTGAGCCATTTCCCCTAGTTTCCCATTTCTAAAAAATATAGAGACTAGAAAACAAAACCCATTTAGAGACAAAGTGACAAAAATGTAGAATACAACATTCCACTGGACAGCTAACCTTGTTTTGTGTGTGTATATGTGTGTGTGTGTTATGCACATAATGTACGTATGTTCATATGTGTGGGGGTGTATGTGTAGAGGCCTGAGTTTTATGTCTAGTATCTACCTCAGTTGCTCTCCACCTTATATATTGAGGCAGGATTTTTCCCTGAACCTGCAGCTTCCGTTTGGCTACTCTTGCTAGCCAGCTTGCTCCAGGGATCCCTATGTCTGCCTCTTGTGCACTGAGATAACAGGCAGGCCACCACACCCACCTGGTATTTACCTAGGTGCTAGGGATCCAAACTCTGGTCCTCATGCTTATGTGACAAGCACTTTACCTGCTGAGCTATATCCCCAAGCTCTAAAACATTTTTAATGTATGTGACACAATATTGTGGTTACATAAAAATATTATCACTCTAAGTAGCAAAATGTCATGATGTCTTAGTCTTGGCTTTAAAATCTTTCAGTGGGGCTGGAGAGGTGGCTCAGCGGTTAAGAGCACTGGCTGTTTTTGGAAAGGACCTGGGTTCAATTCCCAGCATCTACATGGCTGCTAAGAACCATCTGTAACCCCAGTTCCAGGGGATCTACTGCCCTCTTTGGACCTCTGCAGGCATTGCATGACTCAGGTGCACTTACTTACATGTAGGCAGTACACTCCTGCATAAAATAAAAATAAATAAAATATTTGAAAATAAAAAATATTTTAGTAAATAACATTTAAAATAAGTCAGCCATGCTAAAATGCTAGTAACTGTGAAATCTAAATGATAGGACGTTATTCTCTTTTGTGTATTTTAGATTTTCTAGTTTTTTTAGAACTAAAAGAGAAATCTAAGCAATCAAAAAGAGGTTATTGCTAATTTATGATAGAAAAATTGTATTTGAAAGAAAATGTGATTGTGATTTGTTATTTATTTTAGCAGCATAACATTCACGTAGTTATACAGAGGAAAGTGATCTTGGTTTAAGAAACCTAAATTTCTATTTAATATAATATAAACTTAAATTCAAATAATAAGAAAGGAACTATAACCGTATTATAATTCCAGGAATTTTTTTCTTTATTTAAACAGGCTCTCACTATATATGTAGCCCAGGCTGGCCTAGAACTACTGCTTCAGTCTCCTAAATGCTAGTGCAGGTGTGTACCACCGTACCAGGCTACAAGTGGGGAACATTGACAGCTAAGGAACAGGACTGGAGGAAAAGGAGGGGGAAGCAGGGGATTACCTCAGAAAAGGGTTAGGAAACAGAAAGGCACCCATAATCTTACTTCCCAAAGGCTTGCCCTTTGGCATTGTGTAGCTTTTGAAATTGCATATATTATTTTGATAGAAATAAAATAAATGACAACCCTGCGCCATTCCTAGTCTGGGGAACCAATACTGCTTCCTGATCCTTCTCACCCAGACCAACTCAGTCCCTTTCTTGGGCTGCAGGAGCACCGCTTCTGGTCCTGGCCCCGCCCTCACCCCTCTGTGCTTCCCTGGGCCTGCACCACCGGCTAACTCTCCTAGCCT